AAAAAAAAAAAAAATCTTAAACATATGTCTGTCGAATGAATGAAAAAAATTAAAGTGGGGTCAGTCCCCACACCACTATTCACTGGCTCTCTAGAACCCACCTCTTGGGACTTTTTCTTCTATAAAATGGAGTTAATATTTTTCCACTTCCTAAAACAGAGAATACTATGAAGACTAAGGAGAGGGGAAATCAATGTTAATATTTGTGTTCATCCTATGAGATGAAATCTTTGAGGGTAGTGTAAATTTGAAAAATTGCTTAAATGACTTAAGACTAGATGAAGTTCTGACCCCAAAGAGCAACACATTTGTTTTTAACCACTCCCAATATAATTGATCCTATATCAATAGCTAGTTAGATTTCTTTCTCAACACATTTCAATCTTGACCCCAGGAAGCTTTAGTCACTTGTCTGAGACGGAAACTCAACTGCCTTAGACAATGCCCAGTGGTTTCTTCATTCAGCCTTCAAGAAAAACTTAACATTTCATAATTCACCTAACCTCACTGTTTACCCACAGAAAACCTTTTGTGCCCTCAGAATGAGCTAGAGGCTCCCTTCTGACTGAACCCTGACACTGTCAGGAGGTGTCCTCAGAAGGACGCCGTCATAAAGGAGCTCAGAGTTTCTGTATACACTTAATTTCTAAGCCTCACAAACCAGATCTACTAACATGTCTGTGAGGCTTTAAACCGGGCAGCATACAAAAAAGATGGGGCTGTTTCAAAGCCTCTCTCTTTTGTTATTCTGGACTATCTAATCTTTGAAATGTAAACATTTCAGAAACAATTTAGGTCCATCCTTTGTGATGAAGTTTGACCAGCTCTCCCCCAGCTACAGAAAGAAGGAGAATCTATCGTTTAGTCCATCAGTTTTAATTTTTCTGATGTTATAGCTTTGTAAGTTTCACTGCTATAAAACAGAGCTAAGTTTATTCACAAAGGGAAAGCTATCATGGATTTTAGACATACTTCAAGGACATTGACTGTATCTACTCTGCTAGTTATGGATCAGAAAAAAATGAAAACTGTGTCATTGAAGAATTACTTTTTCAAGTGACACTTAGAAAATCAACATCAACTTGGGCAGCCTAGAAAATCCTCTGACACTGAGAGTAGAAAGATAATTTATATTTTATCATTTTCTTTAAAAACTGATGTAAACCTCTGGTCATAAAAAAATCTCAAATTGTTCTTATGGTCTTTAAGAAAATGCTCTAGGTGAAGGTAACAACACTGGGTGTTGGTCAGTGTAGATCTATCTGAATCTGTCTCTATGTTTGTCTGTATATATGAATCTTCCTACTTCTCTCCGTAGGATTTTAATGTCTGAATCTTCTCCCTTTCTCTCTTTTCACTAGAATATTTTTTATTAAAAATGAGGTATGCTCAATATCAAAAAATAAAAGCCAGGTAAGATGTTGCAGAGCTAATAAGTAAAAAGTGATTTTAAGGTGCGCCTGGGTGGCTCAGTCGTTAGACGTCTGCCTTCGGCTCAGGTCATGATCCCGGGGTCCTGGGATGGAGCCCCACATCGGGCTCCCTGCTCAGTGGGAAGCCTGCTTCTCCCTCTCCCACTCCCCCTGCTTGTGTTCCCTCTCTTGTTATCTCTCTCTCTGTCAAAAAAAAAAAAAATCTAAAAAAAAAAGTGATTTTAAAACTACTTATGATTATAGCTACGCCTTAAAGCAAAATTTGTATAGATTATAACATATAGTTATGCATTAGAATAACTTTAACTTCCTATATGGCAGAAAATATTTTTAAATAGTCTTCATAGTGGCGTATTCATGTGAAAAATTAGCCAAAAGTGATAGTCTACAATGTTCTTTAAAAAATATTTCATTTATTTCATTTTCAGTTTGGTTTTACTGATTCACTACAACTTAGAAATTCTATAAATATTTAAAGTTCCATGGTTCCTACATTGATTTCTGATTTCTAAATTATGATTTACAAATGTTCATAGCTCTACTTGAAGGCTACATTTTAATAGCCATATGTATATCTTACAATAAGAAGACCTCATATATACAACCTTAAAACTGTGAATCAATGGTAAAGAAAAAAAGTTAATAGAAGTGGAGGAGGAAAATAATTCATGAATAAAAATGCATGTGAATTTTCTTTTTCCAAATGGGTATAAACTTCATGAAGGAGAAACTGCTACTCCACAAGGATAGTGTCTGCATTTTCTTGCGTGAGCTCTGACTCTAAGGCACAAGGTGAATCTAACTGCTCTTGTGACAAGCGAGAACTTTTCAGGGGGACATCAGACCAACTGTCACAATATGGCTGAAATCTCTGGGCTAACGCATTGCCAAACCTTTGGCATCGGTTATATCTGTAAGATTTACCTTTGTGTGTATACATGTGTTCTAGCAACTGGCTTTTTCGGAGAAATTTATGACCACAGATGGAACAGCTGATTTTTCTTTTCCTTGAGAAAGAAAAATTACAGTTTAATTCTACTGGCTCTGTGTCTTTGGAGATCAAAGCCACTTGACTGATCTGCAGAGGCTCTGTGGCACTCTGGTTTGAGTGGTCACGCTGCTGCTCATTCTCTGTGACAATGAAGGAGCTGAGCCTGCGGCATTCAAGGGCCTCACTATTTTCATTAAGTGGATGCACTTCACCAAGGTCATTGCTTTCCAGAATGGAAGCAGGGACACCAAATGGGAGGGATCCAGACACATGGGTATGGAGATGTTGCCGTAGGTTACTACGGGAATCAAAACGTTCCCCACAGTAATGGCACAAGTGTGTTTTGATGCTGCTTTCGGTGAAAGTGGGGCCTGTCACCTCAGATGAGGGTGAGGGGTGGCTCTGGGAGAGCGCAGACTCTGGGTCATATGTCTCCTGCTTGATGGACACTGGGGGCTCCTGGCGCCCCTCCAAGGCCTGGGCGGCAGGACGGGCCCTCTGCTGTTCTGCAGTGCCGTCATCCAGCCCGATAGCCAGAGAGAGCTGCAACTGGCGGTGGTCACCCTGGACAGCAGCTCTGTTGCCACTGTTACTGGAAGGAGCTTCCTTGACCTCCAGCCCGGGCTTGACAGTTGTCTTTTGGGTCGTTGAGATCTGAATGCCATACAAATTTGAGGACTGCACAGTCTCTGGTGAGAACGCTTGATTCATTTCAGTCGCAATGTGAGAAAGGTAGTCGGCGTGAAGAAATCGAATCCCTTCCTCCAAACGACTGTGATCCACAATCTGTTTTGGCCCTTTCCCCGTGTACATAATGTGCAACAAATAGCTGAATATGTCAGGCTGGATGTCAGTTGGTTGTATTTTTATGCATTCACTGTTAAAAACAAACAAACAAAAAAACAGACCCACACAAGATAAAATGACCAGTTGGCCTTTTGGTTAGCACTATACAGTCTTAGGCTAATGCAATTTCTTCCTAAGAAGTTCAGACTCAGCGATCTGCCTTGATGAAATACATCAACAGAAAATTAAACATTCACAGTACACCAGCTTTATGGCCCAGCAACAAGTCTTCACGTATTCAACCTACCGCCGAAAGCTGGGAAACACACACAGATATTCTGATTAGTTGAACAATTAGTGACTCCTAAGTGGTAGGCACTATACTAGGTGCCAGGGAGGAAAAACATAATGAATGAAACAGATACCTCCCGCGTAAGGAACTTAACAGTCTTTTGAATACATAACCAAAAGAACTGAAAACACGGACCCAAAAGACGCCTGTACGCCAGTGTTCATCACAGCATTACTCACATTAGCCCAAAGGTGGAAACAACCCAAGTGTCCATCAACAGATGAATGGATAAGCGAAGTGTGGCATATACATACAGTGGCATATTATTCAGCCAAAGAAAGGAATGAAGTTCTGAATGATGTTACAACATGGGTGAACCTGGAAAACGTTTGGTAAGTGAAATAAGCCAGACTCAAAAGGACAAATTTTGTATGGTGCCACTTATAATAGGCAAATTCATGGAGGGAGAAAGTAGATTAGAGTTTACCAGGAGCTTGGGGTCAGGTGGGGGAGATGAGGAGTTATTGCTTAATGGGTACAGAGTTGATGTTTAGGGTGACGCAAAATTTTGGAAATGGTAAGTGGTGATGGTTGCACAACATTGTGAATGTACCTAATGCCAGTGAATTGTATGATTAAAATGGTCAAAATGGCAAATTTTATGTTGTATACATTTTACCAAAATAAAAAATATTTAAAATTTTAAAAGGATCTATTAAAATTGGTAATATTTAGAATTTAAATTATACTAATCTTATTTTGGCTTCCAAACTATAGTAATATATCTACTCTTCAAATCACAAATGAATATAGGTATAACTTTGAAAAACTTTAAAAATAACCACAAGCTCAATTTTTAAATATGAATCTACAATTCAGATAATAGAAATAACAGCATAACAAGAAATCAGCAAACGCCCTGCAAAATTAGGATAAAGAGAACGTGAGGGAAGTGCTGGACATCAGGGAACAATGGCTCCAGTCAATGGACTTACCTTCCCTGAAGCAAACGTTCCTGTCTGCTTCAGAATGCACAGGGTATCAGATGCTGGCAATCCATTTCTTTAATTCCCTTATCTCAGGATTCCCTCTTGGGTTTCAATCTTAGCTCTCACCCACCCACTTCCAGGGTCTGTGGCAGGGGTTTTTTATATCAGCACAGAGCTGTTAACTGAGGATTTTTAGTTGCTCAACAGAGATACCACGTAGCAGGCCTGACACCTTTGTATCTCTTGGATTTAGTTTAGCATGGTGCCTGGCTCACAACAGGCGCTTTGGGAGCTGAACCAACTCATAGCTTTTAGACGAGACTGATGTGAAGGCACTGTTCCTAATCTAGTTTCTACATTGACACCACCCATTACATGTCCCCCACTCCAACCTCCTCCCCACTTTGTGTCATGCATTCCAACCATTCTGGTCTATTCTGTTTCCTGAATGTACTAGCCCGGTTCATATCTGCCTATGTTTTCATGCAATTTTCCCTCTGCCTGCAATGTACTTTCTTGCATTCCTTTACAATATCCAAAAAACTCCTCCTGATCCTTCAAGATCCAGGGCTTCTGTAAAGCCTATTCCAACCTCCTCAAAATAGGGCTGCTGACACTCCACTCTACCTTGTACAACACTTCTGTTATAGACGTATCACATTAGTTATTGATAACAGTAGCTGACAGGGCAAAGCTCTGTTCTAAGCATTTTAATATTATTAATCCATTTAATCTTCTCAACACCATGGGGTGAGTATACATACTATGCCAGTGTTTTACAGAGAAGGAAACTGAGGCACAGACAGATCAATTACACCGCAATTTTTTTCTTTACATGTGTTCTCTATTAAACTATGAACTAACTAACTCCTTGAGGATAGGGAGCATTACTAGCCTGTTACTGGGGTCTAATACAGTGCTTACATGTAAGTACCCAACAAATATTTAAATGAATGAACAGGTAAATGAAAATGTGTGATTGAGGCTAGACTACTAAGTATTTCATGCAAGGTCATTTAAAAAAAACCGAGAGAATTCTATCTCTTTCAACCTAGGGTGGATTAAAACTATTCTTTAAGAGCTCAGAATCTGAACACGACTTTCCTGCCCACTCCCTACATACCCATCATGTTGGGATAATCCACATTCAAAAAATCAAAACACTTTTTGAAAAAAAGTATTTGAAACAAATGTCTTCTGAACTGTAATATGGAATATAAGGTGTGTAGAATTAATGACATTATACTCTTGTTATGAAAGTGTTATAGAATAGATATCAACAATTCAGTGAGTCAGAACATAGATCGTTAAAAGCACAGATCTGCATTTGAGGATAACTTACTAGCTGTATAATCCTGGATGGGCCAGTTACTTGACTCAGTCTCAGTTTCCTTTTCTCTAAAATAGTATGGATAATAGTAGAATGTACATTAGGTAAATACTTATGGGCTAAGCCTTCAGTAACTTTTAGCTATTATTGTTTTCATTTTTACCTTCTACCATGGATCCTACACACTGAGATGAATTACTGGATGTGTGTAAAAAAAAAAAAAAAAAAAGGGCGCCTGGGTGGCTCAGTTGGTTAAGCGACTGCCTTCGGCTCAGGTCATGATCCTGGAGTCCCTGGATCGAGTCCCGCATCGGGCTCCCTGCTCAGCAGGGAGTCTGCTTCTCCCTCTGACCCTCCCCCCTCTCATGTGCTCTCTCTCATTCTCTCTCTCTCTCAAATAAATAAATAAAATCTTTAAAAAAAAAAATATATATATATATACTTCTTAAGGTGACCCCATAACAAAGAATCCCCCAAATGATGTTATAATAAGGCTTAGCTATATCACAACATTAAAAACTCTTCTGATTTACAAAAGCACATCCTTACCTTGTTTGGTGAATAAATATCATCTTGAAATAGTTAGAAAAAGCAGCAAGCACTGCTCTGTGGGCTTTGAAGTAAACATCTCCAATGGCAACTGTGCAATCACACAGAAAACCAAATTCTCGCTGCATGTTCAGCTGCTGCAGAAGGACAAGGCTATGGCTAGCTGTGTCCATTGTGGCTCTGAGAAAAAGGACAATTTTTTTTTTTTTTTTTTTTACAAAATTAGCTACAGTTCACACAAACCTACAGAGTACAAGGAGGCCTAAATTTAAACGAGATTACTTAATAGTTTTTAATATTGTTAATTTCACCCCAAACCTAGCTAACATTAAATCCACTCATTAAAACTGCAAAATATGGTCTTTTTTCATCTAAGAAGGTAGCTTGGTATGAGTAACACAGAAGCAAAAGGAAGGCTGTCTTTTTTTATCTATGTGACCGTGCTTCTAGTCATACTGACCCCTTCCTCAGAGCTACAGGAGTTAAGTTATGTGAAAAGCACCTTGTAATGGAAACTGCTATTCAAGTGTTAGCTAGAACTGTCCATATCACTGTCCTGGCTGGGCTAGAGCTGTCAGTGCTCCGTAGGGAGCCCTGTGAGCTCAGGGGACACTGGCCCTCTAACTATCATACAGTACGTTTGGGAAACATGATCAGTCACAGTATGTGCAGGAGCCCTTAAAATAGATACCAAGCCACAACCCATGATTTACATGGGGCCCGGGAACCCAATGGAAAGAGCCTAAACCCTGATATTAACTGGATTCAGACACATACAAGCATGGAGGCTCCTGAAGGAACAATACAGAATGGGACCACTGGTCTTGGAAAAATCATGCACGAGGAAAAACATGCATAAGAATTATGGCAGAGAAATCTAGTGTGAGCAGCAAGGGATTCAAAAGTGCCAGAGTTCCAGGCAGATTGGAGGCTCTGCTTCATCCCGACTGTGTAGACAGACCCGGTGCCTTAAGGAGAAGGCAGCTGTCGTATAAAGGGCATCACTGGCCAGCTGGGAGAACCTTCTCTAAAAGAGCAGTTTCTGAAAAAGAGAATGAAGTTTCCTCACTAGCCAGAGACCGAAGTCTAAGGAAGTCAGTGATGAGAGTGTGGAGTTAGCTGTCTGGAGACTGGCCACAGCTTGGGCAGCAGACAGCTGAGTGATCAATAATATAATAAAACTAGCCAACATTTACAGTGCTTCCTGTGTGTCAGGCACTTTTCACTCATTTAGCTCTCAATATGACTATACAAGAAAGGGAATATTCAGTGCATGTACAGATGAAGAAACTGAATCAGTACAAAGAGTTAATTTACTCAAGTCACACTGCTAATAAGTGGCAGAGCAGGGGATTCAAACCTGGTCACTGGGCTCCAGAACCCAAATGTCCTCCCTTTCCACCTCCCAGAGAGAACATGACCCACAAACTGGAGATGCCTAGGGAATGGTCAGGTTATACATCAAGATATCTCGGGAAGCCTCAAGAATGTTTGGAAAGGGAAACTAGGGAAAAACCCAGATTTCCTGCTGCTTAATTTGCTTACACAAATCTGATACAGAAACAAATACTTATTAATGGATAAAATCTAGGCAATAACTGGTAAACAAAAAAGGTAATTATTACTGATACAAAGTTAAATCTATTTTTATTAAAATTACGTATTTAATGTACTGATATGAAATAATCTCTAAGATATATTAAGTGAAAAAAAGCAAAGCATGAAATTGTACAGAGAAGACTACTATTTATGCAAAAGGGGATGGAGTGGTTATTTTAAAGGTAGGGGAGAAATTTATACAGAAATATATTCTTGTTTATGTACACATCTCTGGAAAGATTCAAAGAAATGAGTGAAATGTTTGCTTCTGGGAGGGAAACAAGGGAGCAGGGTGGGGGAATTGTACTGTTTAAACTTAAATTCTTCTTTTTTTTTTTTTTCTTGAGAGAGAGAACGACCTTAAGCGAGCTGGGGGTGGGGAGCAGAGGGAGAGGGAGAGGATCTTAAGCAGACTCTGTGCTGAGCGTGGAGCCTGATGTGGGGTTCCATCTCAGGACCCTGAGATCATAACCTGTGTTGAAATCGAGTCGGACACTTAACCAACTGAGCCACCCAGGCACCCTGAACTTAAATCTTTTTATTGAAGTTTAACATCATAAGTACATTCCAACATGTATTCCTTTTCCCCTCATTTTTAAAAATTATGAAGGGGGTGCCTGGGTGGCTCAGTCGTTGAGTGTCTGCCTTCGGCTCGGGTCATGATCCCAGGGCCCTGGGATCGAGCTCCGCATCGGGCTCCCTGCTCCTCGGGAAGCCTGCTTCTCCTTCTCCCACTCCCCCTGCTTGTGTTCCCTCTCTCGCTGTGCCTCTCTGTCAAATAAATAAATTAAATATTAAAAAAAAATTATGAAGTATTTCAGATAGACAAATAGGTACAGAGATCAATGTGACAAACATGCGGCCAGCCAGCCACCCCTGAGCACATAAGGTAAACATTACAAATGTGGTAGAGACCCCCTACTATCTCTCCCTCATTCTAACTACCCATTACCTTGCCTCCAAAGGTAATCATCATCCAGACTTTGGTGTTTATGACTGTCTTGTAACATCATCATGTTCCTACTGCATCTGTATGTATTCCTTCAGAAGGTATGGTATTATTTTGCATGTTTTAAAATTTTATATAAATAATATTGTATTTTAAGAGTCCTGCAACTTGCTTTTAATTCTATTCATACATTACTTTTAAAAATTATACTTACTCAAACATTAAGTTTCTCCCAAACCTCCCCCAATTAAAAAATAAATAAAAACAAAACTCTTACTCCTTACCATCTCATTTTAAAAGCCTTTAAGCAGTAATGAAATAAGAGGGAACAAAATAACAGAACCTACAGAGACCTGAGTGTAAACCAAACTCCAAATTGTGAGTATTGTTCCAAAAAGCCATTTAACTAAAACTCACTATTTATTGTATTTGCCGCATTACCCGGATTCTAAAACACCACCGATTTATTAGAGAGAGATTTAAAAACCAAAATAAAACTGTATGCTGGAGATTTCACCATGTGAAAAACATGTGTCTTAGATTCAATGAAATGGTTCAAACTGAAGTAGTTTAAACTAGCTTGACAAATTGTAAAAAAAAAAAAAAACAAAAACTCAGACCATAAACATTTTCACCAGATCTATCTACATACATATATATATACACACACAGACATATATATATATATAGTGCATTAGTATAATGAACTACTGAACCACATGGAAATGAGAAAGGGCACACTAAAAAGCTACATATACAAAACTCTTGTGGTTAATGGTCTATGAGTAACAGTTAAATTCTTCGCTTACTGAACATTTTTTGAAGAGAAACTTAATAAAGAAAAAATTATTTGAAGGCATGCATTATACAAGGCCTAGGGACAGAAGAAAAATACATGCTGCAACCAAGAAGACTGCAGGCTAACATGAACCCCAATGTTTATAGCAGCGATGTCCACAATTGCCAAAACATGGAAAGAGCCCAGATGTCCACCAACAGATAAATGGATAAGAAGATATGGTATATATACAATGGAATACTACTCAGTTATTGAAAGAATGGAACCTTGCCATTTGCAAGGATGTGGTTGGAGCTAGAGGGTATTATGCTAAGTGAAATAAGTCAGTCAGAGAAAGACAAATACCATATGATCTCACTCATATGTGGAATTTAAGAAACAAAACAGATGGACATAGGGGAAGGGAAGGAAAAATAAAATAAGAGGAAAATGGAGAGGGAGGCAAACCATAAGATGGGTGGCTCAGTCGGTTAAGCGACTGCCTTCGGCTCAGGTCATGATCCTGGAGTCCCGGGATCGAGTCCCGCATCGGGCTCCCTGCTCAGCGAGGAGCCTGCTTCTCCCTCTGACCCTCCTCCCTCTCATGCTCTCTGTCTCTCATTCTCTCTCTCGCAAATAAATAAATAAAATCTTTAAAAAAAAAAAAAAGAAATTCTTAACTATGGGGAACAAACTGAGGGTTGCTGGAGGAGGGGATGGGGTAACAGTGTGATGGGCATTAAGGAGGGCACTTGAAGTAATGAGCAATGGGTGTTATATGCAACTGATGACACACTGATTTCTGCCTCTGAAACTAATAATATAGTACATGTTAATTAAATTGAATTTAAATTTAAAAATTTTTAAAAGAAGATTGCAGGCTAATAGGGGAGAGAAAACATAAAACATGGTAATTATGATAGGAAGTAAAAGTGGCAAATGTCATAAGGAGCATTTCAGAGAACATGCTATGAAGGGGAGATCAATATCAGGCAACCCAATGAAAAATAAGCCATTTGAACTGGATTTAGATGAACAGGCAGAAGGTAAACATAGCATTCCAGGCAGGAAAAAATAGAATGAATAAAATTACAGGGAGGAGTGTGAATATATAGG